AGCGCACCACTCATCTTTCTGCCCTGCCGAGTAACCCGTCCGCGGTTCCACGTCACCAGAATACCACTTCCAGGAGGGACGAGCGAAGAAGTACTCCTTATACCATGGGGAGTCAAGCTTAGGCGCTCCCTTGACAAAGCCGACAGCGTTCTCCCGCCTCCCGATGGACCAACCGTTGGGCGAGTCGCGGATATTGTATATCATCCGGAACGCATCAAAAGAAGGAGTTTCCTTCAGGCGGTCACACGCCCAACGATACATGACTGAATGGAAGATAATGGTGGGGGAGAGGCATCCAAGGGTGCAGTTGAGCCAAAGCAGGACCTTCGTCAGAATGGGGTCCAACGGGAACCGCAGGCCAAGCTTTACGTGCTCGACATGGATGGGAATCCAACCGTCGGGGCAAGATCCGGAGCGGCTTCGCTCAGAAGGAGTCGCATATTGCCAGTCTGGAGGCATGCGGAGCGACTTCAGGCGGTACAATACCTGATTGGGCCTAAACACCGCCTCATGTGCTGGACCGCGTGAAAAAACCTCCTCTGGCACCTCCCCACCATCCCACATCCCAAAGTGCAAAAGCAAGGTATATACAGAGTCGGCAATAGCAAGAGGAAGCGGTCTTCCCTCTGCGTCCTCCACTACCTCCAAAGATGACGAAGTACTAGGAACCGCTTCCGAGTGTACCCCATCACTCCCAGACCCATCCTCTATGTCCAAGGAATCGCTACCTAGCCCTACCCGATCCGATTCACCCAGATTATCCCCAACCGCCGAAGAGGTGGCCACAACCCCAACTGGCACAGGGCGGGTATCAACATTAGAATTTTCTAAGTCTAAAGAAATTCCGACAAGGCAACTGTCCAGTTCAAACGCATTTCCTACATATAATTCTAAGCCCGACAGATCAAACACGCATTCAGACGCGCTTCGTGTCGGGGGAGAATGAGTCATACCTTGTGAAACAGACGCAGCTCCAAGGGCGGCCGCCTTAGCCTTCTTCTCGGCAGCATGAGGAGAGGAAGCGGCCGCCGGATCCCGCCGATCCTTCTCCGCCGTACCCCCCGAAGAAAAGCCAGGGGTCGAAACCGCAGGGTCCGCCGTCGTGATCGGAAGCGCAGCACCGTCGCCTGACATCTGCGCTTGGCAAGTTGAGAGGCGGAGAGCGATTTCCGCGGCGGAGAAGAAGATGATCGACGATCGAAAAAGAGAAAGAAAGGGATAGTTAGCGCAACTAAGAGAAGGCGCACGCCGCGAAATACAAAGGGTAGAGCACTCACCGGAATGGAAGTCGCAATTTATACCCGTCGGAAGAAGCTCCAAGCCTTGCACAGCAAAGGAAAAAGAAGAAGAAGACGAAGAGGTTTCCGAAAACAGAAATAAATGGCAGCAAAATCCCTCCACAAACCCCTCTTAAACTCAAAAAGAGGAGGGTTCAAAAATCGGGGGATGCGCCGCGCGAAAACCAAGGCGGAAACCCCCCTGAAGTGACGTCCGCCCTGCTGCCGTCAGAGCTCCTCGCCCGAGGTGCTGACGCGTGGCGATAAAGCAGAGGGCCCAGCCCCCCAGGCGTTCGCACGCTACGCTTTCGCAGCCAGGGGCAAATGGGGGTCCTACGCCCAGCGGTTCCGAGACCGTGACATGGGCTGGCGACCCAGGCCGCTCAATAATAATAAGTGACCTCGTTTAGCCGCGAAAACCTACCACTTCTCACGCCTAAGGGGCAAATGTTAGACCAAATATTGAGGCACATGGGTCCCAAGCCCACAAAGTCATTAAAAGCCCATGAAAGGTAAAGCCCACCCGAACGGGGGCATAAGCAACTTCGAAGGCGGTTCTCGGCGGGCCTCGGATGGAACCGCCCGACACCCGGACCTGCCCAAAGAAGAAGACCGCCCGACAAACCGGTCTAACGGACTTCTGTCCTTTGGGTACGGAGTCTGACAAGAGACATGACCAGAGCGAGCATTTAATGAAGGCAGAGGCGACCTCGAACGCCCGACAAGCTATTAAATGCGCGTAACACCCTCAGAACTAGTATAAATACCCAATGATAGAGCTCATTTATGGTAACTTCTACCAACTCCATTCTCTCTCTTATTTACTTTCTCCTCACTTCTCTCTCTAACTTAAGCATCGGAGGAGGTCCCAGGAACCCCCTGAGGACCTTTCTGCAGGGTTTCGAAGACCGCCCCCGACCATCGAAGCCGCCCAAGGCCAGTGGAGTCTCACAAACCGCTTGGTACATTCCAGGCACAAACAGTGATATACATTCTTTAGTTTGGACTGTTTAAATAAATTATATGATTTTTTGGGAGTAGTATCATTTTTGCCTGTTGTTTTTAATATAGTAAAGAAAAACATTAAAAAAAAGTTAGGCATATAGTTGGAAACAAAAAGTAAATACAAAGATCTCACTCAAATTATCTCAACAATCTCATCTAAATGATGAGGTTTAACTATTTTCATTTTCAGTGATAGTTTGTATTGCATCAAACAAACAATATTTATATTGTTTGTGCTTAAAATGGAAAGAAACCATACATTACAGAAAACCAAGCATTATAAGAACATCAACTATGTCATAAACCCGTTGGTCCCAATAACTAGAGTTGTTGGGAGAAGGTTATGCTGGATCTTATACCACACTCTAACACGCCCCCTCAAACGAAAGCCAACTCATGGGCTTAAAGTTTGCAGTTTGCACAGGCCCACCATACATTGTGCTTTAATCAACTATTCATATTGCTGTTAATATTGGGGGTCGTGGAGATTCGAACACACGACCACTTGGCCAAACCAGCTCTGATACCATGTCATAAACCAGTTGGTCCCAATAACTCGAGTTGTTGGGAGAAGGTTATGCTGGATCTTATACCACACTCTAACAAACTAAACATTTTATCTAAACCAAATTCAATTTGCCAGGTTGAATATTTGGACGCCTCCTAGTTTGAACATTGAAAATGTGGTAAACTTAAATTCGTCGTCTTGTGTTCCTGAGGGTTTGGTAATTTGATTCCGAGGCGACTAATTGTCTTTGTTTAATGCAGATTTTGTCACTCGTGTATCTTGAGATGCTCCATATACTAGTCCTGGCTGCTGCGTGCAATAACAGCTACTGAATTTCATGCCAAAAAATTAAAAAGTCGAGTGAGTAATTGTCAGGATATAGACAATAATACAACGTCTCACCAACTCTGTTTGTCATTTCCTTCTCTTTCTTTTCTCCTCAAGCAAATCAACTCTTAACAAAGGGACTGGCAAAAGTCCTTTCCGATAGTCTTGCTAGACGACACTACACACTAGTAGGAAAAGCCGCCGCCGCCGCTCCTACCCATTGTCGCCGCCCCAACTGACTGGCCGCCAACCATGCCTTGGATGTCGGAGCCGATGTAGTAAAAAAATGTGATTCTAACTAGAAGCGAACAAAGGGTAAAATTGTAAAGTGTAGAATTAATGCGAAAAAGCGTAAGTTTTTTTCCAATATTGTACAATGACTAAAAATCAATGAAGTAAGACATATGCTATATAAAATATGAGTGCACAAAATTTAGATAAGTTAATAAATACATGCAATTCAAGTCTAAAGTACGGCAACTCATAGCATCTTAACAATAAGTTCATTAACATAGATTTTAACAATAAGTCACCTTCCTCTCTATGCTAATGAATGTGAGAATGGTCTAGCTGGTGAATTATATTACTCTACTGAACCTGAGAATGCATCCAAGTACCTGATATGTATATTTTAATATCAAATTATCATTTTGTTTTTTATTTACCTTTAATATATCCTTTTTATAATTAATTTCATGAAAAGAATACCCATTTAGTGAACTAGAAGCGTAAAGCGTTTTTGGTGAACTAGAAGCGTAAAAGCGTAAGCTTTTAAGCTTCAAAGCACAATTTAGTTCGATTTTACACAATAAAAATTTTATACGGAAACAAAAGCGTTTTGGTGACCTAGAAGCATAAAAACGTGAGTTTTTAAGTTTTAAATCGTGATTTTGACTGCATTGGTCGGACCCGTCTTTCTCAAAAGAGAAATTTTACAACGATATATAACATTGGTGCTATTGGTTTTATCTTTATGATACAATTTGAAGTTATATTTTTAATGTTATGCTATAACTTTATATTGTTTCTGTACTCTTTTGTACAAATTCTTTTATGGTACAACTTGAACTTGTACGTTTATGTTATGATACAACTTCAAGTTGTACCATAACATAAGGGTGCAAATTCATTTATCGTACAATCTAAACTTATACATTAAATGTTATGATACAATTTTAAGTTGTACATTAAAGCACCAATGATTTATAGCATAGTAGAAGTGTTCTTCTAAAAAATGCTGATTATGCTACTCGTAAGGATGCGCTAACAGTTATTCAATTTTTATTTGAAGTTTAAATATTTGTATTTCCACAAAACTTTATAAAGATACTCGTGTCATCATAGTTTCAAGCTATGGATGACATTCTCTTTCACTTTTGCGTATAATTGAATTACAATGACTGTTTTAGAGAGTCGCAACATAACCTTAACTCACAATTCTCCCCTAGAAACTTCAGGTCTTCCTAACTCTAGTCTAAAGTGTTAATTACAAGTACACATCTCAAATTTCACCATTTCCTTCTCGCTTTCTAATTTTGGTTTTCTTTCTTTCGTTCAATACTGCAATTCCTGCATCGCTCCGCTCCTTCCAAGTCGACGGCTGCCTCTCTTCCTTTATAAAAACATATAATAATATTATCAGAGTGCAAACCGTCAAATTTGCCATAGTCAAATTCTGCAAGTCGCGTAGACGCAGAGAAAGAATTATTTTAAAAGTGTGGAGGTAGTTTGTATATATAATCATCAATCCATCGGTTCACCATTCACAACACAACACATTCTGGTTAACAGTAACAGAACCGTTACCACTCTGCTGAGAACAGAGCCAAAAAGAAAGAAGAAAAAACAGGGGCCGCCGGACCCGACCCGACCCGACACCGACCATGGACATCATTTCCCACCTCCCCGAAATCCTCGTGGCTCTAGCCGCCGCCGCATTCATCCACTTATGGCGGCTGGGCAACAAGCGGAAGCAGCAGCAAAACAACCCCAACCGCCGCGTCCCCGAAATCCCCGGCGCCCTGCCTCTGGTCGGCCACCTCCACCTCCTCGGCGGCAACCAGACCCTCTCCCGGAAGCTCGCCTCCTTCGCCCACAAATACGGCGACGTATTCACCATCCGCCTCGGCGCCAACTCCGCCGTCGTGGTCAGCGACTACGAGTCCATGAAAGAATGCTTCACCACCAACGACCGGATCCTCTCCTTCCGCCCGGAATCCAGCCAGGCGAAAGTCCTCGGCTACAACTACGCCGCCTTCGGGTTCGCCTCCTACGGCAGCTACTGGCGGGACATGAAGAAGATGCTCATGACCGAGCTCCTCTCCGTCCAGCGAATCAAGGCCCTCCGCCACGTCCAGATCTCCGAGGTCGATTTCCTCATCACCGACCTCTACCAGCAGAGCAGCAGCGCTGCCGGCGACAAAGGCCGGCCGATCGCGATCAGCGAGGCCCTCCAGGGGTACGTGCTGAACATCATCACTCGTATGGTCGCCGGGAAGAGGTATTTCGACAAGACCAACGACGACCTCCAGGCCGTCTCCGGCGGGAGGCCCATCGGCCAGGTGATGAGGGAGTTCATGCTCGTCACCGGAACCCTCGTCCCTTCCGATTTGATTCCGATCCTGGGCTGGTTCGGGTTCCAAGGGGTGGTCAAGACCATGAAGCGGGTCTCCAAGGAGCTTGATGTCATCATGGAGAGCTGGATCGACGAGCACAAGAGGAAACAATCGACCAAATCGGCCGCCAATCCCGATCTAATCGACGTCATGCTCTCCGAAATCAAAGAGGAAGTCGCGTACGGTCACAAGCGTGAGGACATTATCAAGGCCACCGCTATGGTAAATTTTGATTTTTACAGACAATGAATTCCCCCTCCCCCCCTAATTGATCATGAATAAATAAATAATCTTTTTTGTTTTCTCCTCAGTCTCTGATCGTCGCCGGCTCCGATACAACCTCGATCACGCTGACGTGGATCCTGTCCAACCTGCTAAACCACAAGCGAGTGATGAAGCTGGCACAGGAAGAGATCGAAACTAAAGTCGGGACGGACCGGTGGGTCGACGATTCCGACATCGAGAAGCTGACGTATCTGGGAGCGGTGATCAAGGAGACGCTGCGAATGTACCCGCCGGGCCCACTCTCCGTGCCTCGAGAGGCGTCGGAGGACATCACGATCAAAGGATACCACGTCCCGAAGGGCACTCGCTTCCTAGCCAACTTCTGGAAGCTGCACAGGGATCCGAAGGTCTGGTCCGACCCGGACGAGTACAAACCGGAGCGGTTCCTGGCCGCCAACGCCAACATGGAGATATTCGGTCAGCAGTTCGAGTACCTTCCGTTTGGGTCGGGGAGGAGGGGATGCCCGGGGATTAATTTCGGGATGCAGGTGACGCAACTGACCTTGGCGAGGCTGCTTCAAGGGTTCGATTGGGGTACCCCAAATGACAAGCCGGTGGACATGACGGAAGGATTGGGAATCGCCCTTCCCAAGGCCAATCCTCTGGAGGTCGTCCTAACCCCACGCTTTCCTCCGCAGTTCTATAAATCTTAGATTTACCAGATTTTGAGCCAAAAAAAAGTGACGATGGAATAATAATGGTTGGGATTTTCGCATATGCTTTCATTTATTTATCTCTATGTACGTAGCCCCGCTTATGTTATGCAAATTTATATATATGTGATATGTGTAATGATAGTTTCTCTATGTTCTGTGTAGTGATCTCCTTCATCACCAAGCTAACTATGAAACTAGTTTCTTGAGTTGGTGGTTGACTTAAAATTTAATTTACTAGAGCGTTTTTTTTCCTTTGTGTGTGACAAATTATATACAAAGAAGTTCATACCGGATTCAAGTATTGGGCAGATAATCTAGTATGCCTTTTGTACCATGCAAATTATATACTAGGGCTGGTCAACAGGCGGATCAGATGGATTTTGACCATGAAGTTAGTCCACCCACTGTTCAATGGATTGACAACTTTACACACGCCACCTACCTACATTTAATATAAGGTTGGATTGGGTGAGTGGCGGATGGTGTTGTTGGATATGTGTTCACCCACAAGACAACACTTACAAAGTGTATAGGTGTTACCATTTGATTGCCAGTAAATTTTAGGATATATCTACTATATGTTGTCTTTTGCATATATATCTGTTACAAGTAAAAGTCAAGTACCACAAGACAATGCATTTGTCAACCTACTATCATTAACTACATATACAGCAGCAGCAAATATGCAGTATTGGTGTAGAACATAGTAGATTTTAACCACTTTTCCATGGTGTCTTTTCATCGTTGCACATCTGTTACTATTCACATCCTATTAACATGTTCCTGAAAAACTCTAAACCAATAATTAGGTGTGTGAAAGAAACTACATAATCATCAATTATAAAACAAAGACATAACTGGTTGTTAAGTCGATTAAACCATCTAAGAAAGGCCAAACTATTCAAAAAGTGTCATTTGTGTCATAAACTATTCAATATGACAAATCTAGCATGAACTATTTTTTCATTAATGTTGATCGGCGTTGACCGTTAGTATTTAACAGAAAATCTAGTGAGCATCTATGTGGTTTTGTGCTAGATTTGTCATAATTGGATAGTTTAGGACACAAATGTCACGAAACTCACATAGTTTGTGCAAGATTTTTCATATTAAATAGTTTAGAACACAAATGACACTTTTAAAATAGTTTGTGTTTCCAAGTGGAATTACCTTATTATTAACAGCTTTATTATCTCTCCTATTATATAACATATACCAAGTGGACAGAAAAGAAGTAATAAAAGAAGCATGACGCTTACTCATGATTTGGGATTTGGGAATGCTAAAGGGAGGAGATGAATTGCACATGACATTTGATTATCTCTACCTTCCTGACTCGCCATGGATACACCGCGAATTAATACCGATTAGAGCCCAAGTTTTAAACTCTAGTCGGGTGCAACATATGACAAGTATTTAATTGTCAAACCCGGGCCGGTCCATGTACCCCTACTTCAATCGCTTAAGTTGTTATCTAGCAAAACGGTTTTGGGTTTAAACTAAGAAAACTACAAAGTGAACAAACAAGGAAAGTAAATCGAGGAGAATTCTACTTGAGAGGACTTCACCTGGGTATTGCTCCTCCTAGTCTCATATTAAGAAGTAATGAACGAAACTCTAGTGTGAAGAATGTGTTCTTACACTTTGAGGCGGGTGCAACTAGTTAGGGATAAACATTCCTAGTCGATCGATTAAGGAATGCGACACAAAACTAGGGAACCTAGCTCTCTTAACCGATCAACCAAGGAAATCCTAACTCTTTTAGTCGACCAATTTAGGATTGTTGCATTAAGTTAGTGGACTAACTCTCTTAACCTTTCGGCTAAGGATGACAACAGTAGGCTAGACGATCTAACCCCTCTAACTCGGTCGTCTAAGGGTTGCCAACCAAGCCCTCGGATCTTCACCCGCACGACGGATAGACCAATCACGCTAGAATCATGGTACTACTCCGATACTTAAGGTTTTGGCCCTATATAAACCTAGAAGGGGTTACTACAGTCCTAACAAAGGCCAAGTGTAACCAAGGAAAGGAACAAAATATAGTAGCACAAGTAATAAAATTTCAAATCCACGGGCGTCTAGATTTACTATTACTTAGCTCCAATTTATTATCTAGAAAATCAAATTGAGGTTTAAAGAACTAAACTACAATAAGAAAAACCAAACTAGGTTAGACTACAAGTTACAGGTTGGGAACTCACTTAGGTATGATTCCCCCTAGCCACTAGCTAGATTAATGACTGATGATCTCTAACTTGATTCACTATTCATTCACAATCCGGAGAGTCCTTGACTAGACCATGAATATAGATTAAAGCAATCAAGTCTCTCTTGAGTTGATTGTTTAGATGGACATATCCTTTTATAAAACAATCGAGCAAAGCATTGTACACTAGACTACCTCTATTGGGAAAGATTTTCACTCAATACATAGCAAGGAACCGACTCACTCTCATGTTATTGATCGCTTACTTCCAATCCATGGTGCTTGATTGACCTAATCATGTATTTCCTCTAATAGAATCAAAGCAGAATCAACAATCTTAAGTAAAGCATAATTGACTATCAAAACATGCATAGATTTCAGAACTCAAGTGTTACAAAAAAGAGTACTCATGCAATCATCCAATAAAAAAAAACATGGCTAGGGTTCCTCAAAATCTAAATGCAGGGAAGTAACCCAATTAAGGTTTATACTTGGGTCCTAATTGAGAGTTTTATTGTGATAATCGGGACGAGTCACTTCCATCATAGCATCCACGCTTCTCTAGTTCTCTTAATTGCTTCGTTTAACGCCTTGTGGCTTTTCATCACATCTCTCTGTTTTCTTGATCAATTCTCGCTTTGCCTTGACCCGGTGGTTCCTCAGAGGCTGGGACTGATCACTCTTTGCGAATATGATTAAGGTGAGCTTCTTCTGTCGTCCTTGATTCTTATTTTTATTTTGTTTATTCTTTTACTATTTCAAATTTACTATTGTGATAGTTTGCATAGGCATAAGATTGATTTAAACATTCAATATTTGAATATATAGGTTAATTTTCGCATGTCTAATTAATCGTTGATCATTTTCGCTTTCTTGGTGCAATGACATTGATCTATAATTCTAATTTGTGATGGCCAGCTCCGATCATTAGTTCCTATTAAGTGGATGATTCGTTTATTTGACATATCATATTTTTGAATGCCAGGTTCGTTCAGTTTGCGACAATTTCTTCAAGATACAAGAGTTCTTATTTCTAATAGATTTATTTTTATGTATAAGATCTGAAAACCACAAGGAGCGGTTGTCTTGTAAATTCTTACCGATGGTCACAAGCGAATCAAGAAGGTTGTGATGGAATAAGTAATTAGGGGTATTATTCACATATACATGTAGACGTTATCTATAATTTTAATGCTCCATTTCGGTTCCCCATATGGATCCTGAACGAAGACAACCTTCAGGCCATCAAGAACAATCTTGGCAGGTCTTCTAACAAATCAAATAAAACCACAAATTTGGTCGCAATTTGAGTACTTCTACGCTTTCGACGGTTGGACCCGTCTTGAGGCAACCATCTCCTTCTCCGGTTTGAGCTGAGTTTCCTCCGCCAGAGTTGCCCCCTTTACCCCCTCTTGTGGCAAGACGACCAGACGGCAGCGTTCTTCATACGGTCAACACGGTCACGATATTTCAGGTCGTGACAACTCCTTTTGGGCTCTGATTAGGAATTATACGAGGCGTCCCCACCATTAGGCTTTGTCTAATAGGTGAAAACTCATTAATCTTCTCATGTATTCTCATTGATCCTCCATAATCATCCAAGCATTGATCCAAATCATGGTACATTGTATTTTACCTTGAAAAGCACAAAAACACACAAAAAATGCATAACAAGATACAAAAACACAACCTCTAGGTATAATAATAGCTCATTAATCAAATAGTTATGAATAAATGATAAACAATAGAAGAATATAGTAAAGATAAATTGATAAAAGGAGAAAATATATCAAATATGAAAATGATAATCACTATTTGAGTGTTATCAGTTGCTGCAAGCTGACTACAAAGAGAGTTTGAGGAGTTGGGGAGAAGAGATTCACATCTCAAGTGGAAAAACGCTTGGAAATGTCATGGTCCCAACCGTTTCAAACATTTTCTTTGACTGGTAAATCATGACAGGCTCATGACCAACATCGAATGAAAGAGAAATATACGAGTTGCGCAAACAGAAATCAGACACTGCGGAACATGTGCTTAGGAAATTCCCTCAATCGAAGCAGGTACGGATTAAGCTTGGTATGATGGACAATAGTCGCGCGTAGACATGTTTTAAATTTCACACATGTCGGATCTCCAACCATTTGAAGAAGCCCCATACTTGTTGTTTGGAGTACGGCAGTGGTATAAAATTTTAGTATTTATGTATTTTTTATTTCATAATTTGATTGATAAATTTTTTATATTGTAATAAAAAATATTCTTCAAAAATACTTTTGGTAGCTAATTTTTTTATAATGATATTTTAGAATTTAACTAATTTTTTTATAATGACATTTTAGTATCTAAACTTTGAAAACTATCATAATCGTCCATGGTTTAGATGTCACTTGAATCTATTAATGCAATCTCAAACGCATTTCATACTATCCATAAATCCGCCAAACTATGAATCAATTCCATTTTTCAGAAGCTAACGTTAATGCATCAAAATGGGGTTATATCTGAAATAAAAATTAATATCCAAAATTTCAAACCCCTTAATAATCTTGTAAGAATAATACAATTTCTGTTAATCCTCGTCCTCTATTCTTGTCTACGATGTTTCTTCTCGTGGCTCTTCTTTCCTTCTTCGTCCTTTTCACCATTTCAATCTTTCAATTTGCCACAGCATTGCTTCCATCATAATATCCACGCTTCTCTTAAATTGTTTCGTTTAACTGCCTTGTGGCTTTTCATCGCATGTCTATATTTTCTTGACCAATTCTCGCTTTGCCTTGACCTGGTGGTTCTTGGGACTCATCATTCGCTGGGAATATGATTAAGGTGAGCTTCTTCTGTCGTCCTTGATTCTTCTTTATATTTCTTTAAGTCTCTTACTATTTCAAATTGACTATTGTGATAGTTTGCATAGGCATAAGATCGATTTAAACGTTCAATGTCTGAGTGCATAGATTCTTTTTTGCTCGTTCATCTGTATATTGTAGTTTGTCGTTTTCTTGGTGTGATGACATTCATATGTAAATCTGATTTGTGATGGTCAGCTCGGATCATTAATTCTTATTAAGTAGATGACTCGTTTATTTGGAATATATTATTTTTGAATATCAGGTTTGTTCAGTTCATAACTGTTTCTTCAAGATACAAGAGTTCTTATTTCAAATAGATTTATTTCCACGTATAAGATCTGAAAACCACGATGCACGTATACGAATTTATTTCAAATAAATTCTTACCGATGACCGCAAGGAAATCAAGAAGGTTGTGATGAAATAAGTAATTAGGGATATTATACACATATATTTGTGGATGTTATCTGTAATTTTAATGCTCCATTTTGGTTCCCCATATGGATCCTGAGCGGAGATAGCCTTCAGGCCAACAATACCAATCTTGGCAGGTCTTCTAACAGATCAAATAAAATAAAACCGCAAATTTTTTGTGTTATTGTCCAGGAAGAGTATAATTAGGTGTAAGTAGACACACATACAGTAATAGTAGTACTTCATATACGTTGGTTCTTTTGTGGATTTTATTGTCTCTCTCTCTCTCAACTGTTGTTATTCAACACAGATTTTATTTTCCGTGAATTGTATTTGTATGTCTTCAGTCTTCACGCTAATAAAACACAAATCGTGGATGAGGTGACAACTGACAACAAGTCAATCAAGTGGAGAAAAGAACAGACCAATCACCAAAAGCATAATCATGGGATGGGATAAGTGTATCTAATCAATAACATACTTGAATTTGCTCAAAGGATATTCATTACACTTTCCTACCAAAAAAAAAAACTTGAATTCTAGAAGAGGAGCATGAGTGCTTCAGAACCAGGATATGGTGCACCACTTGGATATTGGAGAACGGTTCTCCATCTCCAATCCAACGGTTCATAAAAATGGTTCATTTAATAAATAGTTCAGATTTGTTAGAGAAAGTGGTAGTGGATTGTGAGGTCAGCATGCTGAAAAGCAGCTGACAAAAAACTGTTTTTGGGGCCCGCGGACTGAAAAATGAGCTGACAGAAGAGAGAGACTAGGGAATACAAGTTCTTGAAAATACTGAGTGCTTGTTGCTGCTGCTGGAGAGTGGATGCTGCTGTGTGCTTGTTGCTGCTGCCTGAACAAATGTTCAGCTTGATGGTGGATGGTGATGCCCTGAAGAATAAAGATTACTTAATGCCTTGATGGTTCTGCTCAATTCCTAGAATTTTTTTCCTGTTTTTGGTGGACTGGTGGTTTGCTACTTTGTTTCATTGCTTGGATTGAATTTTGGGAACTTGTTTTCGATTGATTTATGGCTTTACGCCTTTATGGTATATGGCTATGGCCTATGGATATTTGGATTTGGAATTGTATGCATCATTTGGATGCCTTGATCCTTTTTGATTCGTTTAGACAGTTTGAATTTTGGAAATTGGAATTGGAATTTGAGTAATGTAATTTGATTTTTCTCTTAGTAATTTGCATGATGCATTCTTTGTATTTTTTTTGGGTCATTTGGATGAGGAATTGACGAATTGTAACAGTCAATTTGGCACAATTGTCTCGTTTTGAGACAATTGTACCAAATTGCCTTGTTTGCCAGCAAAAAATTTGGATGGATCAATCTGCCTGAGGTATTTTGAATTGATCCGTTTTGAGTCAATTTCAATTATCTGGGATGGGGCATGTAATTCGAATTGACTCGTTTTAATTGCCTCGTTTATAAAACGAGACAATTGATTAAATTGACTAATTTCTAGATTGATCCATCCAAACGACCCCTTGATTATTTCCAGGCTGAGAGTGTTAGTGGGTAAACCCGTTAACCTAAATTGTAGCCCGACACCCAGTGAATTTGGGGTTGGGCCTGAATATAAGCCTGACAGGACTAGTGGTGCGGATTCGAAAAAAACCCGAAAGACTTTCAGACGAGCTACGAATAGGTCCTGCCCGGCCCCGATCCCGCCCATTGCCAAGGCTACTAGAAAACCTACCAATTGTTCCATCCGCTTTTCTTGTGGCCAATGAGAAAATTTGGCCCAATTAACTCATTTTGAAACAATTGGGTCAAATTGCCTAGAGCGGGCTATTTGGTTCCGGACTGTTTGGTTTTACCCGAAACCGGACCGTATAACCCGGATCGGGACCGAACTGGGATCGGATAGCAAACAATGCAATCTCATATTCGGGCTTAGATTTGAGGTAAAAAACCAGATAAAGACCGGATAAGAGACCCCCAACACCTAAAATCAAGATAAAATTGGGACCGGACCGAATCAAGACCGGATTGTATCCAATCCAATCTTTGATCCTTATATTCCCGAAAAAATCAGACTGAGACCGAATCGATTTGGTCCAATTTAACCGGACCGTATAGCCACCCCTAAAATTGCCTCATTAGAATCATACGACCCCATAATTCCTTTTTTCTCCCTCTCTCTGTCACTCACTGTCCGTCTCTTTTCCCTTGTATTTTCCCTCGTCCTCGATCTTCGTCGACCAAGATCTGCAGCAAAACCCTAGGAACCACCATTTCCCCCCCACCGCCGAGGCGAGAGAAAGCTCCACCGCCACCCGCCAAGCTGCACTCTCCGCCCCCTTTCTCTCACTTCTCTCTTGCACGCTCGCAGCCCGACACCTCTATACGATCCGAATCTTACCCTAACTTTCTCAGGTAAAGCCTCTTGTCTCTTATCCTTTCTACCTCGCTTCGGCACGTCGATTTGCTTCTGCTCTCGTAGCTTATCTCTTCGCTCTGCTTCTGGTAGGAACTAGTTTTCCGGTGAAAGAAACCGTTTTCTCATTAAATCACCAACTGCTTCGAGTGTTTTTTTTTCCTTCTCCATAAGATTCGAAAATGTCTGCTCTATTTCCAGTTTTGGGGGTTGGCCGTTTCCTCCCTACTGCTTTGTCTACCGCGAAATGTTATTTGTTAGGGTTTCGTTGGAGTGTTTTTGTTCACGGAAGGAAGGACTGCGAGGTTAATTAGCTGTTGTTATTTTTCTCGCTATTGCTTGTCAGAGATTTGCAGCAGGATGTCAGCAGCCGCAGTTCCCGTGCAGCACGCCACAATTCCTCCTGCCGACGTAGTATGTTTCGTGATTCTTACATCTCTAATGAGAGAGTTTGCCTTTTACCCTTGTTCTCCCCCCCCAATTGCGTCCTTTAATGGAATGGGCGATGGTTGTAGGTTGGCAACGCATTTGTTCACCAATACTACCTTATCTTGCGTCAATCTCCAGAGCTTGTTCATAGATTTTACCAGGATGATAGTAAGCTTGGCCGCCCTGAAGGGAACGGGATCATGAGTACAACAACGACAATGCAGGTACTGTTTTGTTTCTGTATTGCCGCGTTTCTGATTGGTAGCTATTCCTCTTGGTTGCTGCGTACAAGTCCAGTTCTCTTTTCCTTGATTACTATATTCTTTTGAATGTTCGTGATGTCCATGAACCAACCCAGAATGATCGTTCCTCTCATTCGGTCATCTTCATTGACAGAAATCAGAAACGAGCTATCTACTGAAAAGTTCTCTACTACCTCACAGATTGAGTAAAATTTATTTGTAGTATCCTATATAGTATATAGTGGAATTCCGGTCAGTGCTTTATAATTCATATTGTCTTCTTGTCATTCTTGTTGTCCTTGCATTATAGATGAGAACTTAGGGTTGTTTGCCTGTCTTAGACTCCAATAGAACTCGTTATGCTGCGCACAAAAATGATTTCTCTATTTTCTCCCTGCTTGCTCAATTCTTTTCTTCTGCATGTGCAGGCCATTAATGAGAAGATACTCTCACTCGTTTGTGGAGATTTCAAGGTCGAAATTCTGACAGTCGACTCACAAGAATCTTACAATGGTGGAGTCCTAGTCCTTGTGACGGGATATCTGACTGGAAATGATGATTTGCGACAGAAATTCACTCAGAGCTTCTTCTTAGCACCTCAAGAAAAGGGCTATTTTGTTTTGAATGATGTATTCCGGTATGTTGATGAAGCCAAGGTTTATAATGGGAAGCCTGATCCAGTTGACGCTGTTGAAGTCCCTGCTACTACTGAAGAGGGTAATGTAAAATGTTATGCCCTTACTGAAAATTTTTGCTTCCTTCTATTCATCTTAAATATATTTTTCTGGTTAGATTCTTCGCTTGGTAAGGAAAATCATATTTTGGAGCAAGGACCCATTCTGTCAGAGGATGTTAATGGAGGTGAAGTTTATGACCCATCCGACAATGGGGACGCTTCAGTGGAAGAGGAAGTACCAGTGCCTGAAGTTGTTGATGAAGTTCCCGAAGATTCACAAATGGATTCACAAGTGGTCATCGGATCCGATGCTAAGATTGAGGAGGCACCTAAGAAGTCATATGCTTCTATTGTAAGTATGGTTCCAATTGTATCATTAGTTTGTTAGTTCTTCCAATCATTTCGTGTTTGTAACTTAATACTGTTATTTAGTATTATATTTGGGTAGAGATACTGTCAATTATGCTGCTGTTTGCATCCCCCAAGTCTTAAATTGAGCTGTTTATTACAGGTGAAAGTTATGAAGGAGAATGCTGCACCATTTTCATCGCCTGCTGCTTCTCCACTGAGATCTGCTCAAAGGAATCAAGAACAATTGCCTACACCAGTACCTCCCTCCCAAGTATTTGAACCACAAACCTTGAACTCAAATGGGACTGAGAATGGGAGTACCCAAGACACGGAAGGTGATCCTTTTGATGATGCTTTAAATCTTCATTCTCCGAGGATGAAGTTTATATTTTTGTTAAGACTGGGGGAATTTGTTCTTCCACATTCTTATCTATTCTGTTTTCTGCTTAACTTGTTACCCACAGCTGATGGTCCTTCCATCTATGTCAAAGGGTTGCCTTTTGATGCCACCCATGCCCTGATTGAGAATGAATTCAAGAAGTTCGGGATGATCCGTGCTGGTGGTATTCAAGTCAAAAACCAAAAGGTAGTTGTGTTGCTCTTACATGAAGGCTACCCTATCTCCACCTAATTGAACTGCTATTGCCATCTTACCACATCTCTTATTACAGGGGTTTTCTTTTGGCTTTGTGGAGTTTGAGGCTGCCAGTGCCGCACAAAGTGCAATAGAGGTTTGCATGAATGTTATTATGTCCATCATGTGCTTTTCTCTTTTTCTTTTATTATGCTCTGCTTCTGTAGTGTGCTCAGACTTGATTCCTAGAAGTAATCATTCTATTAAGTCACTTTTTTTATTAAAAAAATTGCTGGGTAAATCTTTTGGTTCCCAGTCTTGCACTATTTTATGTTGTTTTTAAACGTGGACAAAGTGTGTTACAGAAGTATCCTCAAGTTAGAAGGACCGTTCAGTGGGTTTCTACATTTTGCTTTATGGAAATCAGTCAAGATTGAGTTATATCAGAGCTGGGTTTCCACCACTGTGTCTTGGGAATACTATTTCATCCGTTACTTCACCTACTCCACTTTCTCCTACACACCTCGGTTCGATTTGTTCTGTTTTAACAACTTTGTCTATTCTGGCCTTCTGTGGCAGTATCTTTCCTCCTAGAACCTGTGGTGAGGTCCTACAAGGGATGCTTACACATGAAAGTTCTAGCGAGAATGACTGCATATAATGAAATATATGGAATAAGCAGCAACAAGGAGGACTCGAGAGAGTTTAAAAAACAAACAAGGATGCTTGTTCCTTTGTGTTTTCTCTATCTGGTGCTTCTTTATGATTTTGTAGAAGACGCTTGTGTTTATTCAATAGCTGCCAAAGCTTCTTACTTGTATTCAGCTTTTAACACTTAAATGTTGATGTTCTATATTTTTTTTTTGTACTGCAGGCTTCACCTATCATGATCAATGGTTGCCGGGTTGTCGTTGAGGAAAAGAGGTCTACTGTTCGAGGTAGGTATTGGGATATCTCCAATGGATTCTGTGAATTTCTTGCCTGCTGTTCACTAGACTTGTACAGTTATGTACTTCAAGCTCACATCTCTCAATTGTGGATGTGAATTGTCTCTAAAAAGTCACACGTTGTCCATGTTCCATCAGTCTAGTAGAATTTTTGTTACCTAGAGGGTACATGACTTTTTCAGACATCCTTGACATCCTTTTTACTCGAGTTCCTTGCTACGACAGTTTGACAAATCCACTTGCTCACTATAATTGTATTTAACTAGTAGGAAACAATGGATTAGAATCTCATTTAGGAAAGGGCTATATCTAGCTTTATGTGATGGTTACAATGGAGTACGAACTAAAAGATACGTCAGGTTTCTTTCTGTTTATACCGAGTACCTTCCATCGTTGCAGGAAACAGTAGGGGTCGCTTTTCATCAGGTGGCGGCACTGGTTACAGAAATGATGGAGTAAGGGGGCGAGGAGGCTTTGGAGGTGGTGGTAGGGCATATGGCCGTGGCAGCAGTGGCAGCAGTGATTATGGGAGCAGGAATCCCGGTCGTGGTGGTGGTGGCTTTTCTAACCGTGGAGGTGGTGAAGGATATCGCAGATCTGAAAAGACGGGAAACAATGGCGGTGGGCGTACGAGCCGTTCTGATGGGCCGCCTATGAATGTGGATAGAAGCACGGCGCCTCGTGTGTCTGCTACAGCTTGAAAACCGAGTTCAACTGAGGGTAATTTTTCTTTTTGATGGCGGCCAGTTATTTTTGAAGTGCAGGGATTCGTCTGGAAATTGTTCAGTAGCATTAAGATGAGATGGTTGGAAGTTAAGTAGGCGGCGAGGTAACCTGAAGTTTTCGTTAGGAGGAAAGTGTTTTTTGGTTGGTTTTGATCCAAATTAGAGGAGAGGGAGGTCAGAGTCTGTTGATGTTGTTTCTTCGGTTTATATGGGGGAGAAGAAGTGGTAGGGGTAGAAATTCTTGTGTGGTAATACTATAGGCTAATCATGATAGCTTGCATTAGACGATGTGGGCGGCATTGGTTCTTTTTTGGCTATATGGAAAATACTATGAGGGCGCATGTCTTCATTGGCTTTTTTGTTCTCTCTTGTTTGTTTTGATGTTATCATAATGGAGAACGTGTTTGTAAACGGAATATAGATTCAGGTGCTCGGTGGCGGTGGCTTCTTCATGTATGGAGGTGCCGTGATTGCCTCTTCGTTACTTTTTGCAATGTTGTGAACTACGGACGAGTCTTGGGGGTTATATGTTTGGCAGTTTAGATTAGATTGTCTTTTTTTTTTTTTTTTGTTATAAAGGAAAGTCTCCTTGTTAACAATCCTACTTTGATAATCACTATTTGTTGTGATAAATTGGGTCTTCGCTTGGCCACGGTCAGCTTCAGTGTCTGTTATTGGGTCCACCCCTTTTTTATTGCAATTTCCATCATCAATAATAACCACTCTTTCTATGGTGTGTGTCCTCGTTTCGTTTTAATTGGAGTTTATCTTTCTTATATTATCTCGAAGAGACAACAACAATTGGAGGAAATAAAACGATTCTTGTCCAACATTTCTGATCCATTCCTAATCATAGGGGATGTCAACTGTTCGTTATTTCCTTCAGAAAAACTAGGAGGTGCAACTTGGCGTATGGACAAAGCGCGACCTTTATGGGATTTTCTTCATCAAATCGGTCTCTTTGAACCTCCTTTCCAATGGCCTAAGTTTACTTGGACGAATCGAGGCAGGAATGGGATAACCATTGAGCAAAGAATTGATAGAGTTTTTGTCTCAAATACTTGGATGAACTTTTGGCCAAACTCTTCCGTATATCATCTTTCTGATAGAGGTTCAGACCATCGACTTCTTCGGCTAACTACTAGTGTCATGGCTCCTCACTTTAAAAGGTTATTCAGATTCGATATTCGTTGGACTTCAATGCCAGAGGCTGAGCTAATCATTAGCTACATTTGGGGCTTACAAGTTATAGGCTCAGTACAATATTGCCTATTCTCCAAACTGCTGCGAATAAGGCATTCCCTAGTGGAATGGTGCAAAGGTGGTCAATCCAATTCAGCTAGATTGATTAATGATCTGAATTCTGCATTGGAAAAAGCTAGGAGTGAACAAACGGTGGATTGGAATTTAATTCGCTCCTTAGAAGAGAACCTGTCTATCCAGTATAAAAGAGAAGAGATCTACTGGAAGCAGAAATCTCGTACTAATTGGTTAAAAGTGGGGGATAAAAATTCTGCATATTTCCATCTAGTTACTTCCTCAAGGCGTCTAAATAACATTATTTGGGGACTTGAGGATGAAAGAGGAATCTGGTGTACTACAGAAGTAGAAAAATGTGGCATAGCTAAGAGGTACTATGAAGAGCTCTTCCATAGTCAAAATCCGAACGGGATAAATCTTTCCAATCTAGTATTCACAAACTACCTTACAGAAGAGCAGAACCTGGAGTTGATAGCTCCTATCACCGCAGAGGAAATAAAAAAAGTAGTCTTCAGACTGGGCAAAACTCAAGCTCCAGGTCCAGATGGGTTCACAGCCGGGTTTTACCAACATTATTGGCACGTGGTGGGACAAGACGTTACACAGGCAGTTCTAACGTTCTTTCACACCGGAAGACTGTTGAGAAGTTTTAATCGAACTTGGATTTCCTTAGTACCAAAAGGATCGGAAGTTCGAACTATGAAAAATCTCAGGCCTATTAGTCTTTGCCAAGTGATTTACAAGATCATCTCCAAGATTCTAGCTAACAGACTGAGCAAGGTTTTGCCGTCAATCATTTCTCAATCTCAAAATGGTTTCATAAAGGATCGCCAAATTACGGATAACATTATGATCAGCCACGAGATCACCCATCATATTAAAACCCTATACTCAGGGTCGAATTGTTGGATGGCCTTAAAACTAGATATGGAGAAAGCGTATGATCGTATTGAGTGGTCATTTCTATTTGAAATGATGAAGGAATTAGGGTTCAGTAGTCAGTTCATATCCTGGATTCGGGAATGTGTGACTACAGTATCCTACTCCATACTCGTTAATGGTTCCCCGTCAGAATACATCAGACCTATGAGAGGACTGCGACAAGGTGACCCCCTTTCTTCTCTGTTATTTGCTATATGTACAGAGGGTTTCTCTGCAATGATAAATCAAGCAATATCTTTGGGCTCCTTGGTAGGAGTAAGGATTCGTCAGAACTGTCCGATGATTTCTCATCTCTTCTTTGCTGATGACTCTTACCTGTTTGTACAAGCATCTCGTGCTTCTTGTTCGAATTTATTATCCTTGTTCCAAGATTATGAAAGGATTAGTGGACAGAAAGTTAACCTCTCCAAATCGGCAGTGCTCTTCAGTAAAAATACTAAGAGCGAAGAGGCAAGCTTCATGGGATCACAATTGGGAGTTGGAGCTATAGGAGAACAAGATTCTTATTTAGGCCTTCCCTCTCTAATACCAAGAACCAAAAAGGATATGTTTCTCTACATTGAGGAAAAGATGGGTAAGAAGTTGCAAGGTTGGAAGCAACGTACCCTCTCCAAAGCGGCTAAGGACACTTTAATCAGATCCTCAGTAACTAATATACCTGTTCATGGTATGCCGTGCTTTAAATTCCCAATTGACACATGTAGACGTTTAAATGGCCTTTTGGCAAGGTTTTGGTGGGGTTCTGCTAATAATTCTGATCATCCAATTCACTGGGTTTCATGGAAAGGTCTCGCCCAAAGTAAATTTCATGGAGGATTAGACTTCAGGGATTTTAGAGCTTTTAATCAAGCTCTTTTTTTTATGGTTATAATCAAGCTCTTTTAGCCAAGCTTTGTTGGCGCATTTGGAAAAACCCGAACTCTCTCATTAGTCGATTGTATAAAGGCAGTTATTTCAATGATAATTCGATTTTGAAAGCCTCCATCGGCTCTAATCCATCTTGGGGATGGAGAAGTATCCTCTATGGGCGCGAGATACTCGTGCAAGGACTACGCTGGCAAGTAGGCGATGGAAATGACATAGAAGCTTTCAAAGACAACTGGTTACTAGCCGATAAACCATGTCCTCATGAGCTTAGACGGCAAGTGGATAATAATAATCCGAGGGTGTCCTTTTTCATCAGAGAAGACCAAAGGGAATGGCATATTCCCAGATTAAGGCATTGGTTTAAAGAAAGTTCAATTGATCTCATTCGTAAAATGGTAGTTCCCATACTTCCTCAACAAGACAAGTTAGTATGGCACTTTACCAAAAATGGATCTTATTCGGTAAAAACTGGGTATCATCTTGCCTTGGATAATATTTTAATACTCAGCCAAAAATCGATGGCTACTATCATTGATCCTCCAGTTTGGAAAAGAATGTGGGCGCTCGATGTCCCGCCAAAGCTCAAGTTCTTTATATGGCAATGTTTGAAAGTGATTTTGCCAACTATGACGGCTCTTAGGTCCCAGGAAATTAACTGTCAAATTCGTTGTCCAGTTTGTTGGGATAGTCAAGAGAGTATTGAACACCTCTTCTTTCATTGTCCACCTGCTCTTCACCTCTGGAATATGGTGGGACTAAGTAGCTTACTTCTCTCCGCCCCAACTGAAAACTTTGGGATCTGGTGGCGATATGTTATGAACTCGGAAAGCTTCCAAATCCACTATCTCCCCTGCATTTGCCTTCTTTGGAGAATTTGGAAATCTAGAAATAAAGTGGTGTTTGAATTCACTCAACCACTAGCCAGTTCGCTTGCACGTCAATTCTTCTTCCAAGTTCAAGAATACTCCTCTTTATCCCCCCTCCCCCAAACCCTTCCTCCTCGCCTGCAGTCCTCTCGCCCTTCCAGTTGGGTTGGTCCTCCGGAAGGTTTTCTCAAGATCAACTTCGACGTTGCTGTTCGAGACGCGGGTTGCTCGTCTGGCATCGTAGTTCGAGGTCCGGATGGGCAAGTCTTCTTGGCCTTGGGGTTCCTTCATCCAGGAATTTCGAACCCTTATCTTGCCGAGCTGCTGGCTGCCAGGGATGCCATCGCTTTAGTGCTTTCTCGCAGTATTCCTCTAGTCATCATCGAAGGAGATTCAGAGGAAGTTATCTGGCAACTTGAGGGTAGATGCTTTGAAGACTCGGTGGGCGGGCCCTTACTTCGTGATTGTTTTCAGTTATTGGGATCCTGTTCTGCTTGTATTCTTTTTAGTTCGGTCCCAAGGACTGTCAACTGGGCTGCCCATAGAGTGGCAAGACAAGCCCTGCTGCTGTCCCCTGTAGAGATAGCGTCCTTCGATTTTGTAGGGTGGCTCCGCTAATGGTTTTTTGTGTGTGTTGGGTAGAGGATTTAACTATTGTACTTTGATATTACTTGGGGGAAAAAATTGGGGTTAATTGCATGGTTGGTCACTGAGATTACAAAAAAAGTTCAAGTTTGGTCACTCGAAATATTTAAATCCATTGGTGGTATTTCAGTTTACAGAAACCGTTCACGTTTGGTCACTCTCCGTCCAACTCCGTTAACTTTTACTTATGTGGCGGTCAACTCTAAAAGTTGACCGTTAAATGTGTGACGTGGCAATTTAAAAATAATAAAATTAAATTTTTTTAAATTGCCATCTCATTTTCATCTTACTATCACTTTTATTTAAAGTAAATAAAAAACTCTAAATTTTTCTAATCTCCAAAATCAATACCCATAGTCGTTGCCACTGTTGCTCTGTCGATAATACGAATCTCGCGCTACAGGAGTACGGACTAGGAGGGGAGAGTTTTCGAGAAATTTAAGCGTCAATCGTCCCTCGGCCATCATTCATTTCCATGGAAAGCCAGGGGAAGCTCACGAGAAGCTCGTCGTCATTTCTCTGCTCGTCGCCGACCATTCGATCGTCAATCCACTCCCTCCACAGCCTGTCCTTGATGGCGGAGGAGGACCTCTCCACTCCATTGAGACCGCCGGCGGAGGACGACGACGAGAAGGATGATAAAGTGATGAGAGAAGATCGGCGGCGGAAGCCTCACCGGTGCGGGTCTAGCTCCACTACGCAGAGGACCGGTTCGAGCCGATTTACGCCAGCTCTTACCATGTTTTCAATCGCCTTCTTCTCTTTCTTCTCCTTCTCGTTTTTCTTCTTCTTCTATTTGAGGAGGGAAGAAATATCTACCTTCGAGAATTTGCTATTGGGATTGGTTTTCATCGCCGTAACCCTTTTCTTCGCCAACAAGAACAATAGCTTGATTAACCAGAATTTGGCATTTATCAAGCAAATTTGGGACGACAGTGGAAGGAGATTCAACCTATTCCCTTCCAGAACCAAGGCCAAACAGCAGGTGAAATGGTTCATAGGCGAGCCGGATTTGGAGACTAGCGCCATGAAAACTCTCAAGGAGAAGAGGGTTATTAGAGAAGGGGTGGAGTTCTACGGGTTAATTAGCATAAATGGTCACAAACCTTTGCACTTAGTACAAAACAGTCACAAACCTTTAATTTGTAATCATTTGATAACAAAACTTTTTTACTTAGAACAAAACGGTCACAAATTAAACAGTGTGACCATTTCATACTAGTTCAAACTTTTGTTACCGTGTCGTTGCAAATAGACTTTTGGTGACCGTTTTGTACAAATTAAGTTCAAAAGTTTGAACGCTCAATCACCATTACAATTCACTCTAGTTGTATGGTGGTTTTGTTAATGTATGTGAATGATATTATGTTGTTTAGGATGACAATGAGAGAATTCAATGGCTGACAAACGGGTTCCAGACTGCTTTTTAGTTGAAAAAACTATGTTTACTTTCTTACTTTCTTGGTATCGAAATTGAAAGTTCAACTTAGGGCATTCTTATTCGTCAAAGCAAATATGTCGATGAACACATGACCTGACATCTTATATGTCGTTCAAGTGGTTAGTGTCATATACTTAACGAAAAAACTACCCGACCTCAAAACATGACAAACATTTAATTTGTAACGATTCGGTAACAAACCTTTGCACTTAAAACAAAACGGTCATAAATTAAATAGAGGTGATCATTTTATACAATTTCAAAGTTTTGTTACCGTATTGTTACAAATTAAAGGTTTGTGACCATTTTGTACTAAGTGCAAAGGTTTGTTACCATTTATGCTAATTACCCCTTCTACAGCAATGGCGATTACTACGAGGGCGAATTCCATAAGGGAACGTGTACCGGGAGCGGGGTTAACAAAAAACATTCAAGGAAGCCCAACAATGGAATCGGTAGCGACGGTGGTATTAGAAGAAATTAGATATTTATTTATTTTAAAATTTAAAATTTTTAATTTAATTTATTATTTTTAAATTGCCACGTCACACGTTTAACGGTCAACTTTTAGAGTTGACCGCCACATAAGCAAAAGTTAATGGAGTTGGACGGAGAGTGACCAAACGTGAACGGTTTTAGTAAATTAAAGTACCACCATTGGATTTAAATATTTTGAGTGACCAAACTTGAACGTTTTTTGTAATCTCAATGACCAATCATGCAATTAACCCTGATAAATTGTCACTCATTTGAGTGATAATTAATAGGTCGTTTGGAAGTTGTGATTTCAAATGGTGTATTTTGTTGAGATAATTAAGGAGTCAAAGTTTGATAATTAAGAAGTCATTTTGTTGAGATTTTTCCCTATCACTCAAAGTTAACTTTTGTGGCTTTATAACAAAAATAAAATCTAAACCTCCAAAGAATATATTTGTCTAATACATCAATTGATTCAATACATCAAATAATAATAAATTAGTTGGCTCAATACATCTTTAAATACCACAATAATTATCACGTAAACCAAAAAATACCACAATAGTTATTACGTAAACCAAATGATGTAAATACACCAAATTATTTTTCATACATCAATGAATTAAAAGCGCAAGGGAACTGTTCCTCACAAACACAAAATCATTGCTCGCATAACTCTGTAATTAGTGTTCACCGGGGATTATTGTTGTGCGGTGGATGCATTGTATAATTATCTTTGCCCATTTCCTTTCTTGGTAACCAATGCAGTCAAAAGCGCGATTCTACCTAGAAGCGGAAAAGGGGTAAAATCGTAAAACGTAGAATCAAAGCGTAAAAGCGTAAGTTTTTGACGCATACTGAAAAATAACTAAAAATCTATTAAGTAGGACATATGCTATGCAAAATATGAATGCACAGAATTTAGATAAGTTAATAAATACATGTGATTCATGTTTAAAGTAGAGCAACTTATAGCATCTTAATAATAAGTTCATAAACATAAATTTGGGCTAAATTGCATGTTTGGTCACTCAAATTATACAAATCTTTCACGTTTGCCACCCGAATTACTTTCCTTTCTTATTCGCCACTAACTTTACGAATAGTTTCACCGTTAGTCACCGGCCGTTACACTCCGTTAAATTTGTCCTACGTGGCAGTCAACTATAAAGTTTGACCGTTAGCTAGATGACGTGGAAAATAAAACAAATTTAAAAAAAAAATAATTTTCCACCTCATCATTCCACTTACTTTGACAATATGATTTTTCATATTAATTATTTAATAAACAAAAAAACTTAAAAAAGAGCCATGTCCGCCAATATCGATTCCCGACCTAGCTTGCCTAAAATCGAGTCGGGATCACTGTCCGGCCTGGCGCTTGAGCTCGTCTACCTCTCCATCATCTTCTACGACCGCCTTAGTAAAAAAAAAAATCTTCTACCACCGCCACAACAAGGGCCGCAAGAATGTCCTCCTGGGCCTCGTCGGCGAGGTCGTGCACTCCCAGCACTCCCGCAACGTCATCAATTTGAGGCAAGCTAATAGGATCTTGCCGTATCTTGACATTATTGTTGTAATCAAAACTCTTGCCGCATGCTTCCGAACATGGATCCGTCGCCACCGTCGGGGAGGTTGATCTGGTTTGCCATGCTGCCCTGCCGAGACACAATGCCCGAAGTGCTTTGTTCGGTCACCGATAGAGAATTGATCGAGCTCCAACGATATGACACCGTTCTTCTCGGCCGACGATCTATACTCTGTTTTTCTTTTAAAAAATTACAAGGGGATGAGATCGGGGTACTGATCCGCTTGGCCATCTGGAAACCGGATCGGAAGAAGGATTCAACCTCCACCCGGTTAACCACGTCAAAGAAGGGCAGCTCCGACACTTGCTTCCGCTTGCAGGAGATCGGCGCGCTCTTCAGTTTCCTCGGCGCTGATGGGCATCTTAGGATCGCTGGGATCTTGAATTCCGCCGATTTTGGTGTCTGGCACTCCTCGTCGCTGGAATTGACAATCTCCTTCTCCACTGGATTATTCCGATATGAATTATCGTTCAGAACTGCAATGTCGTCTTTGCCGCCGTCGCTGCAAGCCCGGGGAGTCTTCCGGAGACTGATCCCGACTTGAATTTTGGGCAAGCTGGGCCGGGAATCGAGATCGGCGGACATGGCCCTTTTTTTATTAATAACAATAAATTATATAGACAAAGTAAGTAGGATAATGAGGTGGAAAATTATTTTTTTTTTAATTCTTATAATTTCCACGTCATTTAGTTAACGGTCAAACTTTATAGTTGACTGCCACGTAGGAAAAATTTAACGGAGTGTAACGGCCGGTGACTAACGGTGAAACTATTCGTAAAGTTAGTGGCGAATAAGAAATGAAAGTAATTCGGGTGGCAAACGTGAAAGATTTGTATAATTTGAGTGACCAAACATGCAATTTAGCCCATAAATTTTAACGATAAGCCACTTTTCCCTCTATGCTAATGAATTTGGGAAAACCCTAGTTGGTGAATTAGATTACTCTATTGAAGTAGAATGCATCCAAGTACCTAGTATGTATCTTTTAATCTCAAATGTATCATATTGTTAGTGATTTACTTTAAAAATATAATTTTTATAATTAATTTCATGAAAAGAATACTCATGTAGCGAACTAAAAGCGTAAAAACGTAAAGCGTTTTGGTGAACTAGAACCGTAAAACCGTAAGTTTTTAAGTTTTAAAGCCCAATTTAGTCCGATTTTATACACTTAAGTTTTTATATGGAAACGAAAGCGTTTTGGTGACCCAAAAGCGTAAAATCGTAAGTTTTTAAGTTTTAAAGCGCGATTTTGACTGCATTGTTGGTAACTTTATTTGATGGGGGATTATTATGCGTTGGATGCATTATATAGTTAGCCCGTTTCTTGGTAACCTTATTATGGGGTAACACATTGTTGAGTTGTGGAAAATGAAACTTTAGAATCTTTGGGGTTTTTCATTCATATTTGGGTTTAAATAGGCAAAAGCTTTTCACTACAAGACAATATGTGCAAGTTAGCATTTGGAGACTACAAAGATAAACATTAACTCAAACTAAAGTCTAAACAAACATTGACATTAAACTAAATTTGATAATGATGATAACTTCTTCTAAACCTTGTCGATCCACTTTGACATTCATGGTCGTCGGTTTGAGTCTTGACGTCTTTCAATATCTCCTGTTACCCCCCCCCCCCAGGGCAAGTGAGTGAGCACAGAACGTGCACACCAAATTTGAAGAGGATACAGTTTTGACTTTGGAATGTTGCTGCACTGTTGGCTAGGGATGGCAACGAAACCCGAACCCACGGGTACCCACCCGACCCAACCCGGTCAGCGCAGGTAAAATCCGTGTTGACGGGTTTTGGGTCGGGTTTGGTTAGGGATGGCATATATATCCGTAACCGTGGATATCCGCCCGAATCCGGCCTAGTCGGGTAGGGTAAAACCCGAACCCGAAGGACACTTAGTGGGTACGGGTAAAACCCGAACCCGAATATTGCGGGTAATGGGTGGGCATGGGTTTCTCACTATCCGACCCGAACCCGCCCGATTATACACATGCATATGTATTTTGTCTAGAAATAATCATTATTTTTCTCTAACATATTTTATATGTAGCATATAAATATAACATTTTCATGAAATTGTGTTGTTTTAGTTAATTTTCTTCATTCTTGTGAATTCTTGTCGTATTTTTTCTCTTACTTAATATAAGAATACGTGTGAATGTTAACATATTGGTTGGAGTTATGAAGAGAAATTAATATCCGTGGATAACCGTGGATACCCGAAACCCGAACGGGTATGGTCATGGTTTTGATTTTCTACCCGTTTCACATGTGGGTATGGGTATGGGTAAAACCCGAAGTACTTTGGGTAGGGTAACGGATATGCACTATCCGCCCCCGACCCGACCCATTGCCATCCCTAGGTTTGGTATAAACCTGTTCACTATTCACCGGGTCAGTGGCGTAGCCAGGATTTTATGTAAGGTGGGTCCGAATTTTTTTTTATATTGCAAGAAAATTTTGAGTCATTGCAATGCCACATAATGTGTGTTCATATATGGACGAACTTGTATTCATATGATATGGATGTAAATATACCTAATAAAATAATAATTCATGATTTTGTCACTCATTAGATACCAAAGAGTGTTTTCATGTAGCTCATTGAAAATGTCATTTCAATACTTGCAGTGGAGCCTTAGTTAGCAACAACAATAAGTTACTTCTTTCAACTACCATGATTCGAAAAATAACTCCTAATTCTATATAGTTTTAGACAATAGCTAGCCTATATTCACGTCAAAGTATAAATATAATAATCTAGTTGACGTTTAAAACCTGATATATTGAATTTATTATTAGGATAAAAAGAATCTAGCGAGACAAAAGAAAGTTTTGACGATATATAATGAATAAACCTGAAATGATTGAACCACGATTAAACCACGTTTTCAATATAGAATATCATACCATTGACTTGTCCGATATAACTTTTGGTACGATTTTTAATCCTTATTATTTAAGCGTACATATTTTCTCCCGAACCAAGGTGGGTCCCGGGACCCACCTTAGTATGCACTGGCTCCGCCACTGCACCGGGTTGGGTTGGGTTTAGGTAAACCCGACCCATGGATACCCGCCCACACCCATATAATTAATTTTCTAGGTATATTTAATATACTAAACAACTAATCTTATTTATGCTTGTGGAGACATATCTAATTTTTTCTTTCTAATTGTGTAGAATGAAGTTGATGTTATCGAGTGGAGAGTGAAGAAACTTAATTGAAAGGAAGAAAATTTCAATTAATCATGTTATTTATGGATAATTTGTGATCTGCTTCAATTTTCTTGAGTTTTCTAGATTGGTGTTGAACAATTTGTATAGTTAATTTGTGATTTGCTTGAATTTTCTAGAATGGTGTTATATATATATGGATAATTTGTATTGAGAGATTGATATTTGACTTTAATTTTGATAGGAACTTGTTTTTGTAAATTTTTTACGACAAAAACCCGTGGGTACCCATGAACCCGCGGATACCCAGCGGGTTGGGTTTGAGTTTTTCAAACCTAGTGGATTTTACCCCAGGTTTTTTTTCACGAATAAACCCATGGGTCTGGGTTTGGCAAAACCCGACCCATTGCCATCCCTACTGTTGGCTAGCTAACTTCCCTTCAAACTTCAAATGGTGAAGCTGTTGCATCGTGCTAGCTAACTTCCCACACATCTTCTGAAAAGCTGATGCATCTGTGGCTAACTAGCTATGAAAACTTCTTCTTCTTCAACTGGTGATATCACTCCATCTTGGGCTAGTTGACATCCCATCTTCTTCTTCTTCTTCTTCTTCTTCAACTCCTCAACCCCCAACTCAGCTTTGTAGCTTGAGTTTCTCCAAATTAATTCGGATATGCTGTTGCTTTTTCTTGGCTGGCTAGCACTCCTTTCTACTTCATCAACTACTTAACCACCAACTTCAGCTACATAGCTTCAGTTTCTCCAAATAAGATGGGATATGTTGTTGCTTCTGTTGCTAGCTAGCACTCCGATGATCTTCAAATGAAATTGCCACTGCATCATGGCTAATTGGCTGAACTTTCACATCTTCATCTTCTTCTTTTTTTTAGATGGCTCTTCAAACTGGTATGGATATGCTGTTGTAGACTTTGCTAACTAGCATTCCATCTAAAATATGGGCCGGATATGCTGCTGCTGATTCTGCTAGCTTAGCTAGCATTCCATCCGAAAAAGAACAGAAATAAGCAAGGGAGTGCATTGTTGGCTACTTCTCTCTACTTAGACTTGATGAAAAAGACTTTGAACACAACAGGGTGTTCCCTATGCTGCAAAACTTGACTGTTGCCTTCTCTTTCTTTTGCTGAAACAAGAACCTTTTTTTGTTGCTGCTGAAATTTGCAAGCTTCTTCTTTGTGCTTCTTCTTACTGAGAATCAGCAAGAGACTTGACACTCTTTGTCTCTTGGACATTTCCTCCAACCACCCCATATATAGTAACAATCTGATCATTTTTCTCATTCTCGATCACAGTCATCTCAACATAAAAACAACTCGGACACAATTTTCAGAACTTCCATTTCACTCATGGACAAAATGACATTCACACGAATCAACTCTTTCATGATTCTCAAATATTTTCTCGGCAGCCTTCATTTGCTCATTCAATCCATCAATTGCAACCTTAGGTTCAAGAATCTCACCTTCAATCTGAATAACCTTTTGACCGTCTGCTTCAGGCTTTAACTGAAGATGCTGTTGAAGCAACTTCAAGGCAGTCTTCTGCTTTTTGTCCTGTTCTATGAGCTTGGTGGCTTCTTCCTCGTCAAACTCCATCTTCGATGGTGGATTCTCTCGATTGGGATGTTCTGGTAATTGCGACTATCAGAGAGGGAGACTACTCCAGGCCCGACTTTGTGCATACACGAAGTTGACGCTGGCGGTTGTTCTTGATGATTTCTATTCTTCCGGCTGCAGATGCTCGACAGTGAGACTTTTGTTTTTGTCCGTGTTGTTAAAACCAAGCCGAGCCGGTCAGCCCGACCGGCCGTCACTTGTTCGTCAAATCGGCTCGGAACAGTTTAAAAACGCTTTGATTTTATGTAGCGGCCGAGGCGGTTCACCCCTCTAGCCAATCGAGCCACTCATCCAGTTTTTTCCATTCGGCCGTTAAGTTTAATTAAAAAAATTCAGAAAATTGAAAATTGAAAAAAAACAAAAAATGTCGGGCTCTCAAACTAAACCCAAATTTTCATTTCAACATTTCGAAGGAAATTGACGAGTTCTGATTCAGAAGTGTCTACTCTTTATACTGATGACGTTTATTATGTACCGGTTCTCTAACGATTATTAAACCACCTAATACCGGTTGGACCACTAAAATGCGAACCATTCATGTTAATGGGTCATGCTCCGGTTCAGTTCTGACAACATTGGTTTTTGCCATTGAACTCCAAACTCTACATTACTATTTCATAACAAGAATAGGTAGCATCTTGAGCTAATTTTCATTTTAGCAACTTTTTCTAGTAAATTTTTTCTTTGTTGCTATTTCTATGGTTTAACAGTTAACCTTTCAAGTCAAGCCCTATGTTGATAAATCAATGGTGAATATTGGGAAAAATAAGGCTTGTCGTGTTTCACTGTTTTCTCAGTACGACCAACTTGATGCAATTTAAAGAGAAATAAATTTTAGGTAATTAAAATTAAGAGGCGAAAATAAAACTCATAGCATCCAATTACAAACCAAAAGTGTGATAAGCTCCAAATAAAATTAAAAACTCATACGTTAGCAATATAGCCAAATTCTAATATTATGATGTAAAAACTTATGTGCTTTACTATAGTCTCTTGCACTTTCTTTGCACTATCGTGCTTCCATAGTGGTAATTGGCACTCGATTGTTGGAATGAACTAGAGCTCTTGCAGCAGCTTCTGAGTTTGAATCATTGTATTTGCTTTGGATGATGAATGATGGCTTCCTGGGAGATGGAAGATGTGTTGCATTGCTTAACATGAAAACAACATCAGACATTGCTGGTCTATCTGCTGATGATTCCTGAACGCATAAAAATCCTATATGAATGCACCTTATCACTATATCCGATGCTCTTCCTTTTCTCCATAAATCCCACACCTATAGAATTCAAATATAATTTATGGCTTTAGTAGGATTCAAACTAAATCGAAGAGTACTTACTACCAAGTGCCAAGTTGGTATCATATTTAAAAGACGTTACTTACATGATCAATCAAGCTGAAGGATGTGCTTTTTTGGTAGCAGTCGTTGCTTCTCATGCCACTAACTATCTCAAGTATCAGTATCCCAAAGCTGAAAACATCTGATTTCGTCGAATACACGCCATTCATTGCATATTCGGACGACATGTACCCTCTGCAGGATTTCATCCATAACCACAAAAGCATTAAGTATTTCAAATAGGTTTGCAATATTAACTTTCGAATATGAATTTTCTTACTACGTTCCAACAACTCTCATAGTATTGCCCTCCATTTGATCTTCATCGAACAATCTAGCCATCCCAAAGTCGGAAATTTTGGGGTTCATTGCACCATCAAGTAGAACATTACTGGGCTTTAGATCTCTATGGATGATTTTCAACCTGGAGTCTTGGTGTAGATATAATAGACCCCTGGCAATTCTAATAACAATATCAAACCGCATCTTCCAATCCAACAACAAGCCTTTTGTTTTATCTGCATTAAAGAAACAACCAATTTCACTCTACTTGGTTCACAACATGAAATCAAAGAAATATATTAAGTCAAATTGTTCTAACAATCCAAAATTTTAAACATTGAAGATCCAAATTAACATGAAAAAAAGAGAAAACTTACCAAAGATGAAGAAATCTAAACTTTTGTTTCGCAAGTACTCATAAACCAACATCTTTTCCGATCAATCGATTCATGGTACAATCCCCATGATACATTTTTTAGAACTTTTATTTGACTGCACATGAATGCAACAACCAAATAGCCTTGCTAGATTCTTATGTTGGAGTTTAGACACTAGCCTTACTTCATTCTTGAACTCTTGCACTCCTTGTCTCGAAGTCTGCGACAATCTTTTCACAGCAACCTCTCTCTTGTCTAGTAGCAAACCCTAGCCATAATTAACAAAGATTTTAACTTCAATATAAGCTTTCTAAATTTAGGTCACTATTATAGAATTGTACTTTATAGACAAAACCAAAACCGCCTTGTCCAAGCTTGTTTGCCAAAGAAAATTTTTCTGTAGCAACAAATATGTCATTTACGTCGAAAATTGGTACAGGAGAATCCTTATTGACATACAAGTTTTCCTTCTCGTTATCATACTCTGTTCCAAGACTTACAATACGATTGCTTCCTGCATCTTTTTTCATAAATATTTTTTAAAAAAATACGAGAATATAGAGGACCTTTTCTGGTCATTCATAAAATAAAAAGAAGGAAAGGACGTTGGCTAACAAGTTGTTCATCCTGCACATATCGTGCTTCCCACATTATTTGCTACTAGTTTTTTGGCCCGCGCTTCGCCGCGGTAGGAAACTAATGATTTAGTTTAAATCAAATAATTCGCAAAATTATTCAGATAAGATACATATGTGAGGTTCACGTAATGTCTTAATAATTATGAATAACATATGTCATTTGTTGGTTTAAGTCAACTATTTCTACATACGGTTTACGTAGTGTTTAATAATTATGAAAAACTATTAGTACCATCTAGCTCAGGACACGAACGATGATATTTGTTGTGTGGGGTTGATTCATGAACTGTTCATCTTATCTTTTCATGATGAGTTCATTATGGAAAACTTACATATTATTTTTTTTAATTAACAAATATAAAATGATTATTGTCCATACACTTTACGCATTGTTTAAATCATTAAGGAAATTCATATAAAAGTATAGAACGTTATTACATAAATCTTTCGTAATATGTGGTATAATAATAAAAATAAAAGTTTAGAAAGTAACAGATGATAAACTGTTATGTGAAAGTTAACTAATCAAAAGCTTATGGTAAATTGGATGTAGGAGATTAAGAACGGTATAGAACATAGTTACATAAATTATTTATAATGTGTTGTCTAATGATAATATCAAATTTAAGAAAATAACTTATAATTAAATAGTGTTACCTAAAAAATAGCAAACATTTAAAAAGTTATAGAATAGTGTTACATAAACATTTAATAATGGGTGATCTAATAATATATCTCCATAAGCTTTACATATTGCATTTTAATGTACTTAACTGTTATAGAAAAGTGTTACATAAATATTTCATAATGTGTGGTCTAAGAAAAAAATAATTTACATAAAGCACTACGTGTAACATATTAATGTACTTAAAGTATATACAACAGTGTTATATAAATCTTTCGTAATGTGTATAACAAAAAAAAATTACGAAAAGTACTACGTATATTTAAAAATAGCTAATATTGCAAAACATTTTAAAAGGTGTAGAATAATGTTACGTAAATATTTCATAATATACTATCTAATAATAAAATCAAGGTAGGAAAATTTACATTGGATTAAAATGTTAAAATAATTGATGTGTAATTCATACCTAATACGTTTGTTTAATTGATATATAAGAAATATCTAACTCTCCATAAGTTTTACGTAATACATTTGTAATGCACGTAACTATAATATAACAATTTAATTGATACATAAGAAATATCTCTCTCCATAAATTTTACGTAAATATTAATGTATCGTGTTAAATAAATATTTTGTAATGTGTGATCTAATAACATAATCAATGTATCGAACTGTAATTGTGATCTAATAACATAATCAATGTATCGAACTGTTAGTGTTACACAAATATTTCGTAATGTGTGATCTAATAATACAATCAAGTGACAAAAAATATTACATTTGAATAAAATAATATATTTATATTTGCTAATCTAAATAAAGAAATTGTTTGGCCGCCCAAATTTCAATGGTTTTATATTTATATTTGCTAATCTAAATAAAGAAATTGTTTGGCCGCCCAACTTCCAATGGTTTACGGCAAATTATAATGGACATGCCTACAGGTAATATTACCCTTGTGAACAGTGAAATGTGAAATTGTAAGCGACATTTTCGTAAGGAACAGTGTTCCAACTTTTTAATTAATTGCGTCTTTAATTAATTAATTAATAATTAATAATTAGCTTTTCTGTATGACTTCAGTTATGTTGTGTAAATGACCTTTTACTAACCTTTTCTTTTTCTCTTCCTTTTCAGCCGACAATATGCAATGGAAACCGCCAAAACAATGGCCGCTCCGCCAATAGAGGTGAAAACAATAGCTAACAGTCCTTTTAACTTATTCCTGTACTAGTGTGAGCCCCGGCCAATTGGCCGGAGGAAGGTGAGATATGAAATTTGATAATGTAATAGGGTGTATAGTTTATTGTTGTATAGTTTTTTTTGGAAACACGTGATAAAATTAATGAATTTTAGCAGGAAAGAGACATGAATGATGCAACGAATCAAAAATCGGCCTTATGAACCAAAATCAAGTACCTGTTACCTTGTTAAATAATATTGTTTCTGGTAATATGATGAGGTGGAGTAAGTTTTATAGAAACCAATTCCAGAAAATCGAATAAAAATCGCCTATCCCGTCGGTTTTCGGGAAATGAGCATCTCACAATCTTTGCTAGCTTTTACTCGGCCCGTTGGCCGATTAATTTGCTTTATAAAACTTTCATCTTGTCATCATTGTGCTTTCTGATTTTTGTTAGGCCATGATAAAATCTAAGGAAATCAAGAACGAACAACACGATTTGGGATAGGAACCGCCGTTGTCGTATCCCTAGAAAATGGTGGTAAACACGGACTCACCTGCCAAACTGGTTTGGATTGAGATTTTTATCGGGTATCAGGAAACCATGTGATTATAAATTAGACTTGATCAAAACGGGCCAAAACTTGAAATTCAGCCTGTTTGATCGACCCATGCCAAATTCTAATTATTCTTTACTTTTAAATTTTCTTTTTGAAAAATAAAAAATAGTGAAAGAAAAGAGATGACTTCAATTCGCCATTTGCACATCACTTATTCGGGAATAAAATCATAGAAATTCAAAAGGAACTGAAAATGTTTAGGAATGTTTAAAATAACCACATAGATCTTTCTGTTTAGTTTTTTACTAACAAATATCAAACGACTCCCTATAAAATACACTATAACTTGATCATTATGATATCAAATAATTATATAATATATATTTGAAATGATAGAAATTAGACTAATTGGGTTGGTCGAGGTTGATCATTGAATAACTTTAAAATACATTATATTTTAGCCACTAAGATATAAAATAATAGCATAATATATATTATGCCAGAGAAAATAGCTTGTTTTAAAATGTCAAACCAATGATGTTCATTTGTTTTACTTGATGGTCAAATCCCGTGTAGGTCAGGCCCATTCAACTCTTTTATTTTATGGTTAGCGGTTAGCCCATTAGATACCATGCACTAGTTTATTGTTAAATTATTTATTTATTATTATTATTTTTTATTTTTGATGAATAAATTATTTTATTTTATTTTTAGCAATAAAAAGAAGTATTAGTTTTGCCTTTTCATATATATTTTATCACCGCGGAGAAATAAAAGGAATTTAAGAAAAAAATTGACACTCCTTGACCCGTTCAAATCCGCATGTGTACGGTAAGTTGGCCCGTTCCACAGAGGAAAGAGAGAAAAATTGACACTCCCTATTCTACCTTTCCTACAAACGCTCATGGAGCAGGAAATTTGAAATGGGGGAAGAGTTTTTTCCTCCCTGCTGTTGTATGTTTTTAATTTAAAAAGATACAACAAATGTACTTAGTGTGATTGGTTATGATCCTTACTTTTCTTTAAAATGGTCATGGTTCGAATCTCAGTACGTGTCTTTTTAATGAATAAAAAAAAAGTAATTGTGAAGACCAAAATGTCCTTCCTACTTTCACTCTCGTTGCAGGAAATTTGAAATGGGGCTCCCGTTTTTCCCTTCGGCGTATTATAAGTATACTAGCTTATTACCCGGCCCGTTGGCCGGATTACTGTATGTTACCCACTTGTGGAATGGGAGAGAAAGCAAGTGAGAGTGAAGGGATTGGGATTTCACTTGATTAGGACCGACCCACTAATCGAATTCTTCCCGACCCGCCCCAACCTACAGGGTCAGAAAGAGTCAATAAGAAAATACGAACGGGGAGGATTAGTCATATATCTTGACTCTTCAGAAGTGGGTCAAACAGGATCAAGGTTGGGTGAGGGCAATTTTTAGCGCTAAGCAGAGTTCTGGGTTGAATACCTTTACTTAGGCCTAGAAATTGGTGCTGATGCAGACTGCAGTTTTTATTATACCATCATCAATCATCATTGAATTAGTCCTGGGCATCCCTCCCCGTTGTCGGTCTGAATTCTAATGATGGCTTCATTCCTTGCACCAGCCATATCAGCGAGTTGCCATCTCGAGCATGATTTGCCTATGTACAAATAATACAATTAGAGTATGAAAATGAATTCAATGAAAAGGAAAAGAGAATTCTATCACATGCCAATAAATACACACATAATAGTTGAAGCTAAGTGAAAGTCATTACTCGCACATCAATTCTCAAAAATTACAGACTAAACATTGGCTAGAATGGCACTGAAACTACCAAGAATCATGGACGAAACAACTTGTCAAATTAAATAATCCTTATACTGAAACTACCTTCTAACTTGAAATAAGACATGATCACAGTTCATAGCTCTCTTCTCACTATGAATTGGTTCCAGCTCGTCCTTATCACTGCCTCTCAAGCTCATTTCAAACAGAATAGAGACCGTTATGTAAGATAACCATTTCTTACTGATCATAATTCCTTTCTTCACTCCATTTTTGTCGGAGAAAAGAGTTATCCCCCTCTCCTGCATTTCCCTTTCCCCCTCTCTTCTCCCTCTTCTTCACAAACCGATCCCTAAACCAGCAACAACAACACAAAAATAGCCTTCGCCTCTCCCGTCTCCATCTATTGAACGCGTTGGTGGCAAGACAGGACTGCAGAAGCAAAATTTTCTAAAATCAAACTAAATTTTTTGAAGCAGACTCAACCACGAAAAAAGAGTAAAGCAACAATGCAGTAGAACCCTAAATTTAACTACAATCAAGCACATATCAACAAGATTTTCGATTTGTCTGAGAGTTAACTACACGGAGAGAACAATTGATGCATAATTGAAATGCTCCAAGCAAGTTGAAGGCAAACCATAACTTTAGAATTTGGTCATTATAATAACCTTCAAGTATTGATGCTTCTAAGAACTATCATGTCCAACCCCCACTTATACAACTACGTAGCCATAGTAATT